AAGACAATATTCACATTGGTAATATTATTTTACTTTGCATTTACTGTTCAAGAAGCTTTTTTATGTACATCAGCTCACTTAATCCTCACAAAGTACATTATCGTTATTAAGTAAACATTACTGTCTTCATTCTACATTTGAGGAGACTGAGCTTCCGAAAGGTAAAGGGAAGGACGATCCGAACTCACATTTCCTGTGCGCCTATTATGTGCCAGCATCCCTGCCTATTCCCAAGTTCACATTCCTGGTGAGGGTCGGAGCAGACCGAGCCCAGATGTCCTGTTATTTTAAGATATTGCGGTTCCTAAGACAACCAACCTACCAGCCCTTGTTCACCCACTTGAGGAAACTTTGCTTCGAGTTTTGGTACCGAATTAGAGTTTTTATTCTTCAAGGGGTTGAAAAACAGCTGAGGTCATCCTCCCAAAAGGCAATAATGTGTCCAGTCCAATTCATAGAGTCACCAAGTAATAAGATCTGAAGGACACTTTTTTGTTTTATTTTTACTGGGGGCAAAGCCTGTTTTTATTTATAATTTCTTTGGAGCAGTTTAAGCACTGAGAGGGATAAATTACCTTTGGCTTTATGTATCCAATATCATCACACTGCCCCATGCAGATATTATGTTTATTAAAATGAGCACTGTGTGTGAGATCATTCTATCTGGTTACACTGTACCCTAGGGCAAACTATTTAAAATAAACTGAAATGAATAATTAATGAAAGAGAAAAGAATATTCCTTTCAAGGTTCCCAGATATACTAGTCTTTTTTTTTTTTTTGATGGTTTCTCCTTACTTCCTCTTTCTACTTTTTTAATCATTTTGACCTATTTACCCTCGTGGTTTATTCCTTCCTTTACATTTCAGAGTTGCTGTCATGGTAGCTTAGCTGCAAGCAAGGGACAATTGTTCTCTGTTGGAGATGGTGTGGAAGACGGGAACAGCTGTTGCTCTTTCTGCTGTGGCACCCAGACATGCCTTCTGTCTGGGGACACACCCGCCAGCTGGGCAATGGGAAGAGTGCCCCTTTACTAATCCAGGACAAAGTGTCACGCAGTACACAGTACCTGTCCATTGGAATGACCATTTCTGGCCACTCCCTGCTCTTTTAGTGAACTGGTCAGTCTATGGCCTTGCTCCCTCAAGTACAGTCCAGGACCAGAACCAGCACATCACTTAGCTATGTTTGAAATGGAGAACCTTCACCCTAGGCCTATGGAGTCGGGATCTGCCTGTTGAGCAGATCCCCGTCTGATTCTTGGGACATTAATGTCTGACAAGTGCTGGTCTACAGGCTGTCCTTTCTCCACGTTTTCTTTCTTTTGTAACTGGCACACGGTGCAAGAGAAAACAGTAGAAATCATATATACTATATAGAGATATATCTTAGTAGAAATTATGTCCCTACGTAGAACTAGGTTCTATAAGACCAATTAGAAAACAAACTTAATTTTGAAAAACAAGTTGAGCTTTTTTGCCTGACATGGTTTTAACATCCTGAGATCAGTGAACTTCCCTGTCGCAATGATTTGACCCCACTTGCGGAGGACTATTCAAACAAGGGAAATAGTCAGAAAACACTTATTCAATCACCAACCCAAATCTTTGTTGTTGGTAATTTCTGGAACTCGTCATACAGCCTTTAAGTAAAGATAAATCACAAATTCTCAAACCAAAAACCAAAGACAGTCAAGCAAATGCATTTCTTCTAGGGTTGGCCAAAAAGTGTTTTTTTTTTCCCCTTTCTTCTGTACGATGGCTCTAGTAGCACTTAGTCGTCTTTAACTTCATCTGAAATAATTTTGTTAGATTGTAGTGTGACAGCTGTCATATCAGCATGCAAAAACTTATCAAAATCGGTGAATTTTTGTATAGCCATTTGAGGATGGAAAAAAATAAGCAACATTTTTAATTTATGCTTTATTATTTCCAGAAATGGTAAAAATGCAACTGAAATGCGAAAAAAGATTTGTGCAGTGTATGGAGAAGGTGCTGTGACTGATTGAATGTGTCAAATTTTGTGAAGCTTCTTGCTGCATACTTCTCCTTGGATGAGGCTCCACAGTCCAGTGGACCAGCTGAAGTTGAGAGCAATCAAACTGAGACATTGAGAACAATCAATATTATGCCACCCAGGAGATAGCCATACAAAGTATCCAAATCGATAAAGTTATTGGTGAAAATAAAAAATGAGCCTTTAATTTTATGGAAAAACTAAACAGATTCTTTGGCCAACCCAGTAATATTTCTTTAGTTGTTTTCAGTATATTTATGCAGGTTCTCTCAACAGCTGAGCTTCCTGGAAGTTACATTGATTTATTTGGGGCTTTGTCTGATTCTTTCTAATCTGGAATTTTGATGATAACACAATCAGAATTTAATATTTTGATTTTTCCAGCATCCCAAGGCCACATTCTCTTTAAGCATTCCAAGAAAAGAATGTCAAGATTCTTTGAGGTTTTTCTGTCTTGTGACTTTAAGCTCAAGCCAAACAATTGGGTTTATCCTCTGATCACTTTATCTTAGAGAGCTTTACCAGAAGTATTCAGTCCCCTTTTGTTTCAACCCACCTCCTCTAAGAGTCAACTGAATCTTCACCTCTTCTGTGTAGGAATCTTTCCCTAATTTCCTGAGAGAGAGGGGACTACTTTTTCTTTTGTGTTTTGCTACTACTGGTACCCCACCTCTTCCCAGCATACATTGTACTGTATCCAACATTGATGTGTTTGTGCATGTGGGAATTTGTAGGGAGCTCACTGCAATCTGGTGGGGGAGAGAAATGGGTAGCATGTATATATTTCGTATGATGGCATTGTAGATTTACATGAGATGTCCACAGCATTTCATGTGCAACATAATATTTATTGAGCATGTGATAGGCATTCCTTAACTAATGACTTTTATATTAGGAAGCAGGACAATATAGTATATGGTAGAAAAAAGTTTTCCTCTATCTTCATAGGGTTCTGGCTGGGTCTGAAACTAAACTAAAAATTAAACTGACAAAGACAGATTAACAGGAGAAAAGTGTACAAATTTATTTAAGTTTTACGTGATACAGTAGCCTTCCTAAGGAAATGAAGAGCCAAAGAAATGGTTGGAGCTATTTCATGCTAGGTTTGCTGAAGAGTGGACAGTCTTGGAGAAATATACATTAAGGAGTATGAGGTGAGTGTAATAAAGTGGAGAAAAGTAGCAAGTTCTGTTAGAAAGTTACCCTTCTCAGCGTCCACTTGTCTTTGGAGGTGAGACTGCTCCTTTCCTTTGGGTTCAGGGAGAGCACCTCACACAGGAGGGTTTTATGGCCAGTTTCATAGGAGAAGGGTAGTGGTGGGGGAAAGGTCAGAATGATATTCTTCTACTGTCTTCTCAAACTCCTTCAGCTTAAAATATTCAAGATGCTAAGGTGCCATATTTTGGGGTAATATGTCCTGAACCCCATCATTAGTAAAGATTATGCAAATACCCCACTGGACACTCTTCAATATTTAATAGCTGTACCATGAAAAAGTGATTTAATGGTCAAATTAATTTGAATAAACTTAATCTTCATAATGCGTTCTAATTTTTTCCTGCAATACTTCTCAAAACTCTTAATGTGCTGATGTGCACTTGGGAACCTCAACGTGAATCCAGTGTGCAGCCTTTCCTGATCGTATTGGCCATGCTCCTTCTTCTCTACACACCACCTGGCACAGTCTAGAGATGCTGATTTCATGGTTGAGAGTAAAGTCTGGTATCAACGTCATCACGTTAATTGCCTAACTTGGGGTCATCTCTTTAAACCTCGGTGACCTCTTATGCCAAATGTGGATAAACTTGTATCTCATATAGTGGTTGGCAAAATAAAAGGTTTGTAAAATTCCCAAGAGTTCTCCGTGGATGCCAGCAATTACAGTTGTTAATGATAATATGCCCCGAAGTTGACTATTCCTCTACCGAGCGCTTTGCAAAGTACTGGGTCTGAAGCTGAGTTGACAGTAAGCTGTTACACATGGCTCAGCTTTAGCGTGTAGGTGGCTAATGGCTTCCCTACTACCTGTATCCTTTGTCCTTTAATGGGATACCAGTCAGGACTAGATCAGTCCTATTCTGGCCGTGGTCCTGCTGCTTATAATCTTCTTATAAAAACAGAAATAAGACAAAGGAAGAAACGAGATTGAACTAGATAAACTCTACAGTTCATGCTCTCTGAAATTCTAAGGTAGAATGGTAGTAATTCTCAACACGAATTTTTTGTATTTCCTAACTGGGCTGATAAGCACAAAAGTCCTTCTCATACATCAGTTAAATTTTTTTTTCACTCAGAAAAGCCACTGTAATTCCTGTCTTTTTTTTTTTTATATATACAGAAACTTGACTTTTGTTAACCTGCTACTTTAGACCACTGCATTGGTTATTATATATGATTACATAGCATTATAAACTAGAAGTTATGCCCGGAAATCATTCTGACGCATCTCCCCTCCCCCATGTATTTATGAGCAAGGACAGCTATGGGGTGGTTCTGTGTGTAGGATTAAGAAACACTGACTTTCTTGAAATAAGCCAGATGTTTTTATGTTCAAAGGAAAAGATCACACCTAGAGAAATGTTTATTTACAAGCCTCACAACAAAAGATTAAAAGAAAACTTTCAGGGGATAGAGGTCACAGAAATCACCCCTTTCCCATCTCCTGTGCCCCAGGGACATTGAAAAAACACTCCAAAAAGATGAAAGATGTGCTGGTTATGAAAATTTGCAGATTAAGGTTATAATGACCAATAAATTACAATAATTACAATAAAAGTTACAATCTGCAGAGACTCCTGCTTTGACTTGACGTGTCAATTGACCACTCCAGGACACACACACACACACGTGTTTTTTAGAAACGTGTTCTGTAATTAGTGTTCATGGAAACTTCAGGAATACTTTTGTGAGACATTTCTTCAAAACAAAAACAACGACCTTTCTAAAACCGAAAGTGAAAATTGTGACAACTTGTTAGTGATTAATCATTACAGACAGTAAATTCGGTGTTCTGGATAGTTTTAGAGAAAATAACCATTTGAGCAGACTTTTTCTCTTTTTAAGGAGCCAAACCGTTCATCTGAGCGACTCCCAGTCGGGATAAGGCAACAGCAACCTCCGAGGTCCAGGTCCTCCGGGGATCCCAGGGGTTCCGGAGACGCGCGTGCGGGCTCCTCCCCGCCCCCAACGCTGCAGCTGCACGGAGTTTCCGGGAAGGCGGGGCGCTTTGGTCTGGTGGCGCTGCGCTCAGGGGTCCGAGGTAGGTGAGTGGGGCCGTCCAAACCCCCTCTGCCACCTCTGCGCCTGGCAGTCCCAGGCTAGAGGCCCGGACAGTGGAGGGAGGCGGGTGCCGTGGGGCCGGGAACCGCGTGCGCGAGGAGCGACGGGCTGGGAGCGCCCGGGCGGCGGCTCTGCGGCTCCCCGCACCCCTGCGCTCCCTGCTCCCCAGAGCTGTCCGCTTCCCGGGTCGCTTCCTCGGTCGCTGTGGCGCGTCAACGAGGGGGCGCGCCTGCCTCCGAGCTCACTTTACCTTCTCTTTACCTTCCTGGTCTCTGACCCCGTCTCCTTAGTTTGTTTCGCTTCTTTCCGGGAATTGAAACTTAAAATGCTTTGTGCTTCCCCACTGTTCCTGCGGTGCTTCTCCAGATAGTTTCTAGAAAAACTGATTCCTTAATGTTTACTCTGGCAGGCGCAGGGTTTGACAGTCGTGCCTCACTTTTCAGAATATGTAGCATGTTCCTGAAAGAGATATCTGAAGGGGAATATGATGTTTCCCTGTCTGCAAAACACACATAAGTTTTTAAAATTGTATTTTATTTCCATTAGCATTTATCCTCCTTATACCCTTTTCCACCACACACATAAGTTTATAAATAGCTGTTTAGGTGTATCACCATTTCACTAACCACCACTTTCTTCCCTTCCAGCCCTTGTTCTTTCTTTTTGCTACCAGGCATGCATATGGGAAGATTTGATTTTCTCAGGCTGGCACTCCAATGATAAAGAGAATATTAAGGGAATAGGGAGTAGGTGGCTGGAGGCCATTTGTATTGCTTTTTCATTTGCCTGAATAACATCACCACGGACTTAATAGCTTAAAAACCATGCATTTATGATCTTAAGTTAAAAGCTCAACCTGGCCTCACTGGGCTAAAATCAGTGTGTCTGCAGGGCTGCTTTACTTTTTGTAGGCTACTGGCATAAATCTGTTCTTTTGCCTTTTTCTGCTTCTTTAGCCTCCCCACCTTCCTTGGCTCAGTGCTCCCCTTTCTCCATCTTCAGAGCCAGCGTTACCTCTCTCTGACCATTCTGCCCTTGTCGCATCTCACCCTGACTTTGCTCTTCTGCCTTCCTCTTTCAAAGAACTGTGGTGATTACATTGGGCCCCACTGATAATCCAGGATGATACCCCTATTTTAAAGACAATTGATTAGCAACCGTACTTCAGTTTACAACCTTAATTCTCTTTAGCAATAACAACATATTCACAGATTCTGGGGATTAGGGTGAAAACATCTTTAAGGGGGCCATCCCTCTGATTGCACAAAATGAAGGCTGCACTGCACATCCACTCATACAAAGAGGGAGCGTGTCCAGGTATCAAATATGTCGTAAGAAGTTCTGGGGATAAAAATGTAGTGGGCCATTTATATGAGTTAAATATATTGAGAGCCTTTATTACAAGTTTTTAAGAATATTGACTTTAAAAAGCATTTAAATAATATTACAGTTTCTGCTTTCTGCAAATGTAATGAGGATTTCATATGCCTGGAATTCCTGGGCAGAACAAATACTTGAATCAAGAACCTGCATAATTCTATAAATTGTGAGTGTTTTCAGTGGGTAAACCTGTATATTGCCCTGGGTGGGTGCGAGGAGGGGTGGACATGGTCCCTGGCCTCAAGGTCGTGACCATCTATCTGGTCATGGAAAATGACACAGGTACACAAACAAAGCTCCCCAAAAGAGGTGAAAGAGGGAGACATACCATCCTTTGGGAGAATCAGAAAAGACCTCAAGAACTTGTGGGGAACTTTGGGATAGACCTTGAAGAACAATTTGAACCCATCTCAAACTTACAGACAAGTAGCAAGTATGACTTTTTTTCTGACTGATTTGAGAATTTTTCCAGATTCATTACTCATTACCCTGGAATTCTTGAATATGTATTTCCTACCAAAAAAGAAGTATTCTCTATATAACCACAATATAGTGATCACAATCGGGGAATTAATATTGAACATTACTGCCATCTAATTCTTGGATCCAATTCACACGTGGCCAGTTGTGCCATTAATATACTGTATAACAAAGAGACCCAGTTCAGAATAGTATAGTGCATTTAATTGTGATGTCTCTTTAGTATCCTTTTGTCTGGCACAACTTCTTAGTCTTTCCTTGGCTTTTATGAACTTGAAACTTTTGAAATTTATGTAATTATTCTTCATGCTTATATTCAGGTCATGTATCTTTGGCAGCAATATCATACAAGTCCTGCTGTTTTTCATTGCACCCCATCGGATGGCTCTCGATCTGATTGACCTCATCACTGGCTTTGATTATTTCACTGTGGTGGCGTCTGCCTGGCTTTTCCACTGTAAAGTCTTCTCCCCTTTGAAATTAATAAGTATTTTGTGGGGAAGTATTTTGAAACCCATGAAAAGATCTTTTTTCCCCCCAGATTTCAATTTATTTACTTACATGAATATGGACTCATAGTTGTGTTTTGTTTTTTTTTAACTGTACTCTGGATTTAATCATTACTGTCATTATTTACTTTAATGCTTAACTTACACTTTGGGCCAGTGAGAACTTCCTTGGTCCTCATCATTCGCTGAGCACTTCTTTGCTTTCTGACACCATACATAGCTCTCTTTTACTTTCCCTGTCTCCATCCTAGAAATGGCTAGAAGACCAAAAGAGTAGTCTTTTAAAATGGAACTTGATGTTATGATTGAGCTGTTAACTGCAGAGGAATGTTAATACCTACCATTTTCGATTACTGTGTTGAAAAGCAAAGGATTTTTAGAACACTTTTATATATTTATAGGTGTAAAGTTATTCGAAATACAGACTTTGTTCGGATATAAGCCATGTGATAATAAAGACTTAGATGATAGGAGAAAAGGTATCACAAAGAACAGATGTGTCTTCTGTAGAAGTGTCAGAGTTGTTATTTCTTTCTTATTGAGTTTGTTTATACAGCTTATAAATATTAAAAATTTCTTATATTAGGGAATCATGGCAGCTGACGAAAACAATGAAAAACAAGTTTTTAAGGAGGATTGGCTAGATGAAGACTTAATGGAAGATAAACAAACTAAGGTAAAAATGGAAAAATTACTGGGTATTCTTGAAGATTAATTTATATACATTAGTTTTGCAGTGAATCATGTTTCATATATCTTTATCCAAAATTACCTAGACTTTGGGAGTATATTAGGGTTTTCAAAATATTTTTACTTTCATTTTTCTAGCCTTACAAGAAAAAAACCATATTTCTATTTTGTCTTTCACAGAACTTACAACATGGCTGCTTTTATACCCCCTCCCTTATTTCTCTGATTTGCACCTAGACGTTTACGAGCTTAGTTAACAATGATCTGATCAGACCCAGGAGGGAAGGGAGGGTAGCTTAATCCATTTACCCTAGACCTTGTGCCTGGCATGTGAGGGCAGCAAAAGAAAAAATAACAGATTTAAAAAATTGCTCCAGAGTGACATACATGCAATTTAAAAATCATGCCTTAGTCACAGATATAGAGGAAAGGAGTTGATAGAACACTGGCCTTGGACTCAGAAGACCTGGGTCTCAGTCTTTGCTCTTCTGTGAAGATTTCTGAGTGAATATTTCTGTGTGAAAGGCAGTTTCCTTGTCTGTAAAATGGCGATAATAATATTTGGGAGTGGTAGGACATGATGTAAAACATTCAACAAGTTTATGATTCACGTTATTGTATTTTTTTTTGGAACTATCTAATGTCTTTGCTGTGTTCAGGGTGAGAAAAGTTTAGCTCCTTTAATTCCTTTAGAAAAATGAGGTCAGGGCTGTTTAAATTTTTGATGCTATTTGATATATATATGTATATATTTCTAGAAATTACTTGATGACATGTTAAAGGAAAATATCGACTTAAAGGTGCAGATCCAAAAGCTTAAAGAGGAGTTACAGGAGATCACCGGGCATGCTCAGGTACCCTTTACTTATTTTACATATCACATTTTTAATATCATTTTTCAGAAAAAGTGATTTTATTACATAAAATTAATTTTTAAAAACATTATGGTCATCCACTGCAGCACTGTTTGTAATAGTCCCAAAGTTAAAACAGTCCAGTGTTTCCCCGTAGTTGAGTGAATTAATAATTTGGGATGTACTCACACAATGAAATACTACATAGTACTGAGAATGAACACATTACAACTACACATAACAACATGGATGAATTTCATGAACACAAAAAAGATAAAAGAGGACACACCATATGCTTCCATTTAAATATAGCACAAAAGCAGGGTATTAGAAGTTAGCGTGGTAGGAACTAGAAGGGAACCCAAGAGGCCTGTGGAGTGTTGGTTGTGTTTTGTTTTTGATCTGTGTGCTTGGTCACACGTGTGTGAGAGCACTTTGTAAAATTTCATCTTGCTATACACTTATGATAATGCACTTTTATATTTATATATACATTAATAAAAATTTCAAAAACAAAAAAATGATCATTATCAATCACTTTTGGACAAAATCTTGGTTTTGGTTTCTTTTTTGTTCTCATTCAAAGTGCTACAGTAATTTAAATGAGTTGCACAGTTTTAAAAAAATGGATGTCTGTCTTCACCATTAGTCTCTCCTAAATTTTCCTGTATTTGAATTTGACATAAATTTCACCCTTTTCCCCTTATAACAGCTCCTCATTGTTTCTTTACATGATTTAAATTGTTAAAGAATTGCCACTCTCTGTTTCTGATATGGGCGGTAGGATGTGAATATCAGGAAGTGAGGTTTCCTGTGTCTGTGGGACTTAGGGAAGTGTTAAGCCAGAACCATTTACTCTTAGAATTCAAAGGGCCTTGAGAAACTGGCCAGCTCAGCTGATCCACTTTACAGAGGACTGAAGCTGTGGTCCAGAGGGCATGAGTGAATGGCTTTCTGCCACACTGTGCTCAGGACTGGAGTGAGGCACTCTCACTCCAAGCACTCTGGACTTTTCCAGGTATAGGCCCACCTCAGAGGTACTGTGGGTTCAGCTCCAGAGCACCGCAGTAAAGCGAACATTGCAGTGTACGTGAGCCACGTGAATTTTTTGGTTTCTCAGCACTTGTAAAAGTTATGCTTATTCTGTACTGTACTCTGTTACTAAGAGTGCAGTAGCATTATGTCCAAAAAAACAATCTAATACCTTAGTTAAAAATACTATATTGCTGAAAAAGGCTAACCATCATCCGGACCATCAGTGGATCGTAACCTTTTTGCTGGTGGAGGGTCTTACGTTCAGTTTGTAAAATATGCAATACCTGCAAAGTGCAGTAAAGTGAAGCACGATAAAACGAGGTCTGTGTGTATACTAGATTGCTCCATATCATTGAGCAACACTTTGGCTTTTCTCAGACATTACAGATTGTTTGGAAATGGGAGTTACGGTAATCAGAAATTCTCCTGAAGTCACACGGAGACATATAGTGAATATGAGATTAGCTCAGATGACTCAGTGAATATGACTAATTTTTTTGTGATAACACCTCTCATTTCAGCATGTAAATAACCTTTGGAAGTAGACACCAGACTCAGCACTTTTGTGTAGTTGCATAGGTCTGTTATTCCAATGATTTTAAGCAGCTAAGTATAACCACTTAACTTTATCCTCCAGATTATAAATCACGTGGATAGTGTCCCTTTACATTTTTATAAACCCATGTCGTGGTAATGGTTGAAAAGTTGAAGGGAGGAATTCCATTTGAGAAACTTTAAATTACTATAATTAAGGAGTCTTTCTTTCTGGATAAAATTTTGGGGGTTTGATTACCTGTAGTGTACTCCCCACTCTGTGGGGTAATTTCATATCTCTATGCAGTAAGAGTGAACATCCTGTCTGATGACTTCCATGTGAGCAAGCCTGTTATTGGCACAGTTGTTTAAAAGGTGCTTAAGTGTAGGAACGATGTAGTCTTTAGAAGCAAGCACCACACTATATTGACCAGTTTAAATATTGATCAGAAAAAGTAAGAGTTTATATACTTACAATTTCATCTGTGCAATAAGATTAAAGGATCAGCATCTGATTATACTACTGAGTACTTGTCTGGGCAGAAACAATTACTAAAGTTATTGAATCACACCACAGCGTTCTGTGGGGTTCTGCAATCAGTGGAGAATGAATTATGGGATGATCAGATCACATTATCACTGGAAGGACTTATGTTTTTCTTGATTTTAATCAAACGTTTTTGTTTGAACTAGATTAAAGAGGACATTCCGGAAACAAAGATGAAATTCACATCTTTAGAGAATCCTGAGAACGAGAGCCAGTTTTTAAATATCTCCTGTTCATTTCAAGTGAGCTCGCCAGTTCCTTACGAGCTACAAAAGGGAGAAGCGCTTATCACCTTTGAAGAAGAAGAAGGTATGACATGTTCAGTGATATGACCAAGTTACCTCTGGGAGGCACCTGCACTTACAAAGAGCTTTCATAGATCTTTGGCTACTGTTTTACAATTTTAAACATACTATTTCATCTCATCCTTATAGTGAGACTCCGAGGCAGGTATGATTATCCCCATTTCAGATAGGAGACAACTGACTCTGAGATGTTAAATGATTTGAATACGATCACTCATTCACAATACAGTGACCCTGAGACTCAAGCCCAAGGGCTGTGATGTGCAATCCCAGCATCTTTCTAATCTCCAAATGATTGTCCTAGAAATAATGGTTTAAGGATGCAGAGCCCTGCACATTTCTCACAGACATTATCTCATTTTATACTCTCATGAGTCTATGAAAGCAATACTATTGGAGAGTTACTGTTTGCATTTTCTAGCCAGGGAAACAGATTCTCAGGTGTTTAAGTGAGTTTACCAAAGAGCACGTGACCAATGAGCGGACAGGGCCCAGGAGTCAGAGATGTGGGGTTGACTAAGTCTGCCATGCTGGGGGCACCTTAATGAGGAGCATCTGGTTTTGAGTGCTATCTTTGCTCCTCTCTAGAAGTGTGATTTGTTTGGGTTCTTTATAAACCTCCAATTTTTAGGACAGGCTTTGAGGTCATACCTACCTCATGGGGTTGTATTGAGTATTACATGAGAAGTGCTGACAACATACTTAGCACAATGTCTGACATATAATAAACAGGAAACGTTAGCTGTCATTATTGCCATGTTAGGACTTTTTCAAGTAAGGAAACTGAAGATTAAAGAAGATGAGGAACTTGCTCAAGGTCCATACAGCTAACAAATTGCAGAGCGGAGATCCAAACCCTGACTGACTTTCTCCTGAATGAACATTCCTCTGAGCAGGCTGCCATGTGTCAGATTATGGGTCTCTACAAGCCCTTCAAGTGCTCAGATGCTGAGAATCTGTTATTGTAATTCATGTCTTCTGATTTCTGGTCCATCACAATAGCCTGAAAATAAGTGTTAGAAAGAAAGTGATTGTTTCTTTCTCAAGAAGTACAACCGCATATAAAATAATTAAGTCGTGAAGGTGTAACGGCACCACAGCGTGACAACTATGGTCAGTAATATTTTATTACATATTTGAAAGTTGTCAAGAGAGTCAATATTAAAAGTTCTCATCAGAAAAAAATGTTTCTGTAACTTTGAATGGTGGCAATGGTAACTGGACTTAGGGTGATTAATTTGCAGTATGTACAATTAGCGAATTATGATGTTGTACACCTGAAACTAATATAATGTTGTATGTCAGTTTTACCCCAATTTTTTAAAAAAAGCAATGGTTTTCTAGCATGTCTGTATCTACCCATACTGTTTGTTCACCCCGGGTCCATCCCTACAGCTGAGGGCGGAGCAGGAGACCAAGAGCTGTGCAGGCAGTTGGCCCGGTTATTGGGATTAACCAGAAAGACCGAAGTGAGGATTTGGGAATCAGGGATTCTGCACAGGGATTTCCTGGGAATGCCAAGAATGGGATCCTGGTCAGAAACTTTGCTTCCACTGTGGGTGTGGCTCTGAGGTCCTGCTCTGCTGGGGCAATTTTCAGTTTATACAGTTAATAGGATTTGGCTTTTGATGGTCCCAGAAGTCCAAACACAAGTGGTTGCTGTCAGATCACCCGATGTTGGAGGTTTGGGTGTGGGGAATGGAAGGGAAAGAGTATCATCTACGTATTATTTCACTGGTATTTTCTGTTATTGTTGCCTGTTGTCATTAACAAAAAAAGTCATAATTCAAGTTATAAAATCACATGGTACAATGATTGTGAATTCTCAGGACAACGCCCTGTCTTCTAACCCAGTTTCTCTCTTCCCCCAGCTGTGGTTTGCTAGCTGATTGTCATAAACACATGTGAGGTTTCCAAGACCAAGAGTGGGTATATCTTATCTTCATGACAAATTACAGCAGGCATCTCCAAATATTGACAACTGAAGTGTTATAACCTCTCATGTCACACAATTAAAAGTAAACACTCACATGCTCTTTAAACAGACATACAGTTTCTGTGTACAGATCTCATGATTTTTGGCATAATCACTAAGCCTGTCCTATTTGTATGGATAAATTGAACATGATAGTCTTGTGATCGGTATCAACTTTTTAATGAATGATTTCAAAAACATTTTAGTGAAGGTTGAATTTCTAATTAAGTATGGCAAAAAATAGAGATTTACTCTTTGATATTGAACCCTATGTGGTCTTCAATATGTAGTCTTGGGAAAGGAAGACAAAGGAAATGTGGTGCTTGTAACATATTAAAAAGGAGTGGCAAATGATGAATAAGGTTGATTATCAGAATGACACTGATCGACTTAGGTTTTTCCAGCTCACTCACATGGAAGAAGTTTCTGGCTGTGCTTTACTGTCCTAAGGGAATTCTCTGGTGATTCTGTCAGCCGTGGAAAGGGAGGGCGTGTGACTGTACTGAAATGATATGTGAGTTTCTGAAGAATTTATCAGACTTATCTCTTAAGGGATTAATGTAGAACTGAATGAGAATTTCTACATTGTAATCTTTGCTGACGTATTTTGACACTAATGTGTCCTGCTTGTGTGGCAAGACCATTATCACTTGGAAAGGCTAAGAAAAGTTTAAAAATTAGATCCTTTAAAATTAAAGAAAATCGAAAATGTTTAGGATAATTTGCTCGTAAGCTGGAAGGGTAAACATATATTGAAATATTGGAAATGAATACTTTCCAAATTATTTTTCAGTTGCCCAAAATGTGATCAGAATGAGGAAACACCATGTGCACATAAAGGACATAGCCGTGGAGGTCATGGCCACACCAGTTTCCTTAAAATCAGGCGTCAGATTCCAGGTAACATGGTGATTAAAGCTTTTCAGAATTCTGTTAAGCATGGATGCTGTTCTCATCCATATCTCTGAATATGAAATGATTTCCCAGGTTCATGTAGAAGTGTCTAAAGTGAAGATCACCGTTACTGAAATTCCTGATGAGTTGCCTGCAGACCTGATGAGAGACAAGCTAGAACTGAGCTTTTGTAAGTCCCGAAATGGAGGCGGAGAAGTGGAGTGCGTGGAGTACGACGAGCAGGCCGGAAGTGCTGTCATCACATTTGTGGAAAGTGGAGGTAGTCCCAGTTTTAGAATGTTAATAAGAAATACTCTTCCATTTAAATTATGCTCTGCCATTTCTAAAAATAGTCATTTTCTACAGAAATTCTTACACTGCATACTAGGGGATTTTTAAAAGCATTATAAAACAGTCGAGTCCTGAAAATGATTTTCATGAATGCTGAGAATGGTAGTATTACAGATAACAAGCACATACATGTTAGTGTGTTTTCTTCATGTGCTAGGCGTGGAGCCAGGTGTTCCATACATCTGTCTCCTCTGATCTGCAGCAAGCTCTGGAGGTAGGTCTTATACTCATTTTATTGATGAGGAAGCAGGCCTTGGGAGGTGGGTAACTAACCCAAGATCACACAGTCGGTGGTGGCAGATAAATTCACATTTATATACTTATATTTGTTAAATAAATATGCATATTAAACTGTGTGTTTTATCGCACCTATTAAGACTATCAGGGGTCTCTTAGGCAGAGAAAATTGATAACAGGGAAGACAAGGGTTTTCCTGGGAAAGAATAGCTAGACATCTGTTCTGTTTTTAAGGTAGAAATGGACTTTTACCAAAGCACCTTAGGAAAGCTTACATTCTTACGATAAAAACTAGAGGATTCTACAACTGCTTCTGTTAATTTGTTCAAATGATTCTCAATGTAAAAATATCTTATTGTAGTTCTTAGGGCTTCTCTGGGGTTTGTAACTGTACAGTTAGAAAACATTGACTGATTATGTTTTTTTAATAACAAAATAATCCATGCTTTATAGGAAAATTGAAATGACAGAGAAGAGCAACTAATTTAGTAAAAATCGAGACTTTTTTCCCTTTCTCCTACTATGTAGTTAGTTACGGTTAGATCTTTCTGGAATTGCTAGATCATAAGGTCATTCTGTGTTTAATGTTTTAAGAAGCCGTCATACTGTTATCCACGGCGGCTGCCCCATTTCGCATTCCCACGAACACTCTACTGGGGTTGCAGTTTCCCCACATCCCTGCAAGCGGGGGCCTGCACTCTTAGGCACTGTATATACTGCTCATCCCGTGGGAGCTGGGGAGAGAGGAGAAAAGCAAACTGATTGGATGTTCTTCAGAACTGTTTCTGTGAAATTTTATGCTATCTTGACACATAACCCTTTTCCCCTTTAGGAGGAAAATGCTGCTAAACATAAATCTGATTATTCTTTGTTTCGGAGAAGACTGATGAATTTTTATTATTTGCTTTCACTTTTTCTGGACAACATTCAACACTTCCCCCATCCTTTTGGTTAACATCATTGTATTAGTTTACTAAGTATCTTGTATTAGGTACAGGATAACGAACACATACATAAACACACACACTATAGTTATAGTGATATAATAATTTATTATATATGTGTATATACATACATAGCAAAAAATATAATGTGTATAGTATTCTAATCATAGTTTTTCTTCACACTTCTTTAGAAACTGGGAAACAGTCTTTTTAGGAAGGGTGGGTTTCTTTTTGCAGATCGTAATTGCATTTTATGTAGCTGGCTCAGGCGGGTCTGTCTGGGAACATTGAAACCCTCTGTGCCTTGATTGACTGCAGTGGATAGTTCAAGAGACAAGGATCTATTTCAACCTCATTATTGTGCTGTGAAGTCTTTAAAGTGAATGACGATGTCTTAAAAATTAATCACTCAACTTACCGTTGTGATATTTTCCTGCTTGAAGGAAGTTTTAACTTAGTTTAAAATGTTTAGGATATAAATGAAATAATTTTAAAAAAATTTACTCCTAGTTGCTGAGAGGATTTTGAAAAACAAAGACTTTCCTCTTTATATAAATCAAGACTGCCATAGGGTTGCTGTTTCTCCGTACATGGAAACACACCTGAAAAAGTTCCAGGTAAGGTCATCTGTTTTGTTTTGGGAACTTCCTGCTTGACACCATGCCACAAAAAAATAAAGAAAAAGTTGTGAGTCTGTTACTGTTTGAATCTTATTAGTGAGGAATATCAAATTGTTTCTTCACATCTGCTTGGCACAAAATGAGTTTGTCTTTTAAAAGAATATTTTAATGTAAAACTGTACCTTATTTAATTTATGGTGCACTTTTTAAAACTAAAATTTCTCGGATAACAGCACAGTCTTTGTTTCTGTATGTGGATACATAGCTACATTTCTCTTGTGTGTCTCCTACCATTGGGCATTAAAAATAATTTTTCCTGCCCATTTACTCAGAACTCACTATGTTTACCCCAAGACGGCTCCCTTGTTCTGTTCCTACTCAGGTCTTAAATGGCACCACCACCTCCCTCGTCCACCAGCCTCAAAGCTAGAACTCATGCTTAACTCCTTGTGACTTCAGCTCAGACATTCATTTGGCAACTCAATCTTGTCACCTCCACCCCGACTCCCTCTGTAACTGGTCTGGCTGTCAGTACAGTTGCCCTCCTTTCCTCTGTTTGTCTGGTGTCACCAGAGTTGTCTTTCTGAAACTCAGATCTGACTCTGATATGCTGTTTCTTGAAAAATTTTTCTGAGGCTCCTTGTCTTTCCTAAGGTAACCCCAAAATATTAAGCAGAGCTGATTAGTGTAAAGTTTTGCAATTCAAAGCTCTTAGAAAATATTCTATTTATCTTTTTTACTTTTTTTTCTAGGTATTTTCAGGAATATCTAAGAGGACGGTGCTTCTGACTGGCATGGGAGACCTTGACATGATGGATGAGGAGACCGTAGAGGATTTAATTGGCATTCACTTCCAGCGGGAGAAGAACGGAGGTGGAGAAGTAGACGCGATCAAATGTTCTCTCCATCAACCTTACATAGCATACTTTCAAGAATAGGCTTATGGAGTCATGACAACTAGGGCTTCTGAGCCCAAATTACCATCAGCATTAGGGAAAAATGAGTTTCTTTCTCCTTTAAAAAAAATGGAAGCTTTAATTCTTAGTGTCCATATATTCTTGGAGACAAATATATTTTCATGCTTCTGATTGTTCCTTTGTTTCCAGCTGTGTTGCATATTTAGAAATGCAATAAGCTCCCTATATTAAAAACAGTCTTGTTCATAAATTACGTGGATTGGTGCCATGTCCTTTGAAATCAACTATAAATGATACAATGGTCTTCCTGCCATGTTGGCTCCTGCCACAGTCACTTGAGCCAATTCAGTTTTGGCCCCAGGTCCACCAGCCTGCAGATTTGACTCTTAACATTCCCCCAAAGAATTGTTACATTCAGCAGTTTGTGATTTCTGTAGTGAATTTTCACGGGACTCTGAGTTTTCAGTTCTCATTTTCCAAAGTATTTCCACAGCTCCAGAGGTATTTCTCAGAGCCAAGTGTAGTTTTCTCTTGAACTTCCTTTACCCAGAGTGTCAAGCCCTTTTTAAGACACCCCCTCTCCAAATAGAACTTGTAAAGACCAGAATTTTCTTCCTTTTACACTTACAGTGGGAAAAATGGGTGTAAGAGGTTGACAACTTTGGAATAAAGAGAGAGGTAAGTGCAGAGCTCCTGTTCCCTCCCTCATGCTTGATGCGGGGGAGTTTCTGAGGGTAAAAACACCGTACTCTTCTTTTAGGGGCTAAAAACTTAGTTGGAGAGAGACCCAGTTTGTTAGCATCCTCCTGCTTTAACTTGTAGAAACTTTAAACGGTAAAAGTCAAGGTTCCTATTCAGAGAAGGGGAAATTCTCTTTGGTAAAGAACTTTTGTACATCTTTTATCTTAATAGGGCATGGTTCGTGAAGAGCCAACAGCCTAATTCATATTAAAATGCTCATAGAAGTGAAACGCTTTTAGAAAAGATCCTAAATCTAAACCTACCCACGACTGCTTGCCATCTAAAATAAACGAAGAAAAGCTAGAAAGTACTTTGTTTTTCTTCTGATATTTTAGTTTTAAGTTTTAAAGTTGTCGTGATATTATCAGAAGTAATCATTACTCTCACATTTTTTTTGGAATGAGAGATGGAGCCTAAAAACTGAGCATTTATCTGTCTTCATATTCATTGTTTTAGGAAAAAAAATTCCCATCGTATCAGTTGTTCTTTAGAAATAGTAACATTTCAGTTTCCTCAAATATAAGAAGAAAAATTTTAGGAGCTTATTTAATTTCAATTGGTTCGGTCTCACTAGCCCAGAAAGTGTCCTTTTTCATGTGGGCAGACTGCCAATCAGAAAGAATTTTTTCCTAGTATTTGGGATCAAGTTTGAAGCAGGCATTTTTGTTCCTTTTGGGGGCCTTCTCCAGGCAGTAAAATGGATAATTTTATTCAATTCTAGATTTCCACAGTGGTTTTTGATAAATTAAGTACTAATTTTAGAAAACTACACCTTTTTTCCTGTTCACACCACCCATGCGTGATATGGCTGGATCTCAAAAATTAAGCTTTGGCTCTCCCGCTTATTTGTAGAGTTGTAAAGATTTTGGAGGAGGAAAGTTGAGTCTTCCAGAATTTACTGAAAGATACTGTATTAACTCTTTAGTATACTATATTTTAAGTTTGCAAAACTTAAATTTTGTGTCCAGGATGAAATAGCTCTACTAAACGTGGAGAGCTATTGTTAGTATGTAGGTGAGGACAGAGCTGTGGAATTGCAGTCTTGCTGTTTGTGGACTTACCAGTGAAAGCAGGCCCGGGTACGCTGTGACAGCAAACGGCCTTCCACGTCTCGGTGTGCATGCACGTCAAATGTGCAGCACAGGTTGGCAGGGGACTCTGTTTGTCCTCATCACTCAAGGCGCCACCCCAAACGATTCTTCCAGAATCGTGGAGGTGAGGAAAAGTGACACCTGGAGAATCTGGCACCAGCAATTAAATGTGACTCAGAAGTGACCTGTGTTGTTGTTTCCTTTCACATATCATTTGCCAGAAGTAATCGCATGGCCTCACCAACACCTTGTAAAAAGGAGGAGAACCAGAAATAGTTGATCCAGAATAAGGAAGAGAGCTGCCTGTCCTGCCCTCATCAGCAGTATTTGGATCACTCTTCTTCACATACAAAATACACTCACCCCATCTGCAGGGGAAGAAAACATAATGTTCCCCCTCAAAAGGCAGCAAGCTCAAAATGCATGAACTTTAGGTGATATATGGTAGTTTCTGTATCAGGTCTGAATGTTCTCTTTTGTCCAGAAATCCCCCAATATACAGTGGTGGAACTGTAACCAAACAACTGTAATAGACTATCGCATCTGGAAAGGGTCAGAATGGGACACATAGCAGTTACTGAGTCAAGGTCATTCTGAAATTTCATTGAGTAGACATGGAATCCATACCTCCTGGATTTGGAATTTTGATTAGGCTGTGATTCCACTCGCTAGAAGTTCTCTTGGTCATTGTCCTCATAGCTCCTGGACAATTCTTTTCCCATTGCTCTGCTTGGACGTGTCTAGAATGGACATTAAAAGTATATCTTTCTTCGAGGCCAAAGAGCTTCCTCACTAAGTACTTACTCATTATACTTCCTATGATCAACATTTGTGACCAAAGTTTTTGAAGTTTTGCATAGTCAGTCTCTTTACTCTGCCCGCCGAATAGTTAGCTGGCACAATTCAAACAAATAGGCTTCTTATTGTTACTTAATGGATCAGGGAGTTATGAGGTCCCTCTGTCACTGTGGAGTCTTTGCCCACCACCAAGAAATTGGAATTGTGGCTCTCAATGCCAGAGCTTGGTGAAAAGGAAAGGAACTACTTATTCAAAAGTTATACAGACTTAGAGTAATGACTTAATGTCTTTGTTAAAATCCCAAAGTCCCTTCAAACACACACATTTCTTTTTTCTCCTCTTTGCCTAATCAGGCCAGTCAGAGGTACTGTATCTCAGGAAAAAATAGAAGTCCGTGGCTTGGCTAGGTCCAGGTTCTTCCCAGTAATCCGTGGCAGGTGTCTCACAGTTCCCAGCACCATCAGCTGTGTTGCCAGGATCTCCAGTTCTTAATCCAAACCCACATGGCACCTTCTCATGGCCCACCAGCAAGAGTCCTTTCACCCCTTTCCTTCCCGCAGTGTCTTGTGCATTCTCCCAAACTGCTAAGAGAGAGCTCTGCATGGTCGCTGTATTTTGCTTTCCTGCTTCCTAAACTGTGCGGTTAAGGGAGCCCCCTTACTGCCCCCGAAACTGAGTGGTTAGCCCTGTGTGTGGATGCCATGCCTGGGGTTAAATCCTGGCACAAATCTTCCTCTGTAACCCCATTTCCCACTCCTCCCACAACTGGCCACACCTGCCAGCACTCCCATATTTTTTTCAGCCTTTCTGGTCTGCTGTAGTAAGTCCAGGCAGGCGTGGCCCCCTGGTATGGAGCGAACCATCTCCAATCTCTCACACAAGCACTGTAAAGGGGAGCTGTCTCCCAGTTATAGCAGGGGTTAAAGTTACGCCAATCTCCTTGGCTTGAAAAGTCTTTATAGCCACTTAACATATCCTTGAAGCTAGCCAGCTGTTATATAAAACAACCATTTGCAACCATAGGCATATCAGGTATGAAGCTGGCCAACTATTGATATGCAAAGTAACTCAATGGTCCTGCTCCATACGTCCCTTCCCTCAGTCCAGACTTGTGGGGGCGGGGATATCCTATATTTTTATATTTCTTGGACACCCCAAGTTCTGGACCTCATTTCGAATCCTTCATTTGGGGGTCCCTGGCTGCACCCTGTTACATTATCTATGATTTTTTTTATTTAAAAAAGTTATTTATTTATTTTAGAGAAGAAAGGGGGGAGACATTGATTTGTTCCACTTATTGATGCAGTCATTGGTTGATTCCTTTTTAAAATTATATTTTATTGATTATGCTATTACAGTTGTCCCAATTCTTCCCTTTATCACCCTCCACCCAGCACCACCCAGTCCCTCAGGCAATCCCCACCCTTTGTTCATGGTTGTTGTGGACCGCTCTGCCTGGTTCTAGGAATTGTAACTCTACCCCCTGTGGCTAAGGATGAGCCAGTGACAACCTCAGGAATGTGAGCCGCAGGAGACAAAGCTTGTTTCTGGTAGCAAATGCTGCCTCAGTTTCCTCCCTGCCCCCAAAGCATGGTCAGAAGTCCTTGACAAGTAAGAACCCTCAGAAGAGGGGCACCCTAGGCCAGACATGATCACTTGGGAGGCCTTCATGGAAGGACTGGGGGGGGCTGCAACAAAGAGCAATGGACTCTCACCCCCCAGCTTTGACAAAGCCTGAGTCCCCATGTCCTCTGGGAGAACTGCTTCCTGGCTCTAATCCCATTAAGCTGGAACACCTGATATGGAGGGGTGCAGCTCCTTGCCTTGCTTGAGTGTGTCCTGGGGAAAAATCTGGCATCACAAAGACTTCCTGATAAACCTGTGAAATCTGCTTTGCTAAGAGTGCTTTCATTCATATGTTAAGGGTTCGAGCAGGAAACTCTAAAATTCCCTTCCTGACAGACACGACTCAGACTACGCCCTCAGATTTCTTTGAAATGTTATCTACTGTTTGATCCTTCCGCCCTGTATTCCTGTATATTATAACCCAATAAAAGCTCTTGGAGGAAGGGGCTCAACGTCTTTTTCCTCTGGGAAACTGGCCACCTCTCATCCCTAAGCAGATCACATCATGTCTCTGTCATGTTTATTCTCATCCGTGGCACATGGGGGGACTTTCGAGGAAAGTTGCCCCCACACATGATCATGTTCATGGGTCATGTGAGTAAGCTCTTTGGCTTACTCAATTTCCTATACTGTACTTTACATCCCCAAGGCTATTCTGTGACTGCCAATGTGTACTTTTTAATCCCCTCACCACTTAACCCATTTCCCCAAACTGCTCTACTATCTGGTAACCATCAAAACCCTCTCTGTATCCATGATACTGTCCCTGTTCTTAGGTGCTTAGTTTGTTTTCTAGACTCAATTATTAATAGATATGTATTTACTGCCATTTTATTGCTTATAGTTTTGATCTTTTTTTGAAATAAGTCCCTTGAACATTTCATATAATAATGGTTTGGCAATGATGAAGTCCTTTAGT